GGTCACAACATCCATACTGTACGGTCCAAATACTCTGAAAAAAAGATACGTAATTCCAATTGAGTAGAGTAATACCTACAATCCTTGAGTAAGAGAAAGTTAAACAAACAGGAAACTAATGAATCTCATCACAAAGAGTAAAGCTGTTTTCAGACATAACCTCTGGAGGATGTCCTGAGAATTGGGTCTGTGATGCAGARYCAGGCAGAGGCAGGGTYTAACGTGTATTCATRACACTGTGGACATTGTGTTTTTGTTTACAGCACACTGACACCAAAAGCTCTCTTGACATATTCACCAGTGTCTCACCAGAGATATTTGATTTCTTTTTATCTTTTTCATTTTGTCGTGTGTTAGATCTCATGTTAGTTCTCATATCAGCTCCTCCAGACTTMCTGTGGACTTAATAGTTGGGGGCTTACCGGACACAAAGTCTGGTGCTTGGACATTTGTGTTCACACATACAGCCCCTCTGGAGAATGCACAGGAGTTCAGTGCATGTCCTAAAGCAACTTAATATTACTCACTCTTTGACCTCAATGACTTCATCCGCCTCGACTTTCTTGTGAAGACTCTTGATCAGGTTACTTGAGTGTTTAAACATTATAGTGTACATCTGCTCCAAAGAAAACGATGAAAACATGAAATAGTCAAATATTTGCATACAGACCAGTTTTAGTGTGAATAATGCAAAAAACGTAGTACATAATGTAGTACACATTTTAAACCTCTTTCAGTCGGCCGCTGGTGAATGATGGCGAGAGCACATTGCGAATCCTCTTCCATTCCTCATCTTCTACTACTGATACAGCATCACGTAAAGGTCCGTTTAGGCCAAAATCCTAAACCACACACCCACAGAGGACGCAGCCATTAAATTTGGTTCAGTTATTYGTCTTGATGTATTAACTTGGGAAACTGCCCCCCCCCCCCTTTTCTTGTTTGCTTTTTCTTACCCGTCTGTTGGTGAAGACAGAATAACACTCCTTAACCAAGACTGTTTTGATCATGGCTGTGTCCATTATAGCCAAGAGAGGCTGTCTGCCATCGTAASACCTTGTAGTGCAACAGCAGATATTGAAGTGACTTGAATACAGCGTTGGACATCGCATGAGACGTGTACGATGTATTCTTAATTCATATCAAACACTTACCCCCACACCCTGCCATATTTCTTGAAGCAGTCCGTGTCAAAATTGTGGARACCCTGCAGAATAGAACGAGAGAAGAATCAAAAGTCAAAACCATCATCAGCAGAGTGTCAGCTTAGATCACTGGAAAACGCGTCTCACCTTCCTGTACTCCAGAAATGTTCCAATAAAGGGCAAAGGTTTGGGTCCACGGATGCCTAACTTCTTAAAAACACCATATGGAGCATATCCATACCTGGGGATATAAAAAGCAGGAAACCGAGACCAAATCCATTATTACTGACATCATATATACCTATTTATTATTTTCACATATTATAAAAAAGTTTACAAATGTTTGTATATATATATCTCTTTATGTCTTTTATGTAAATTCACTGTTGTAAAGTACTTTCAGCAGCATTTTATGTATGAGAAGTACAATTTAAATAAAGTTTTATTTGTGCATTGACTGTGTATTGATTTTCTTCTTTTTTTTCTCACATCTTCTCAAAATGTGAGAAAAACACTTTGCTTGTTTACTTACTTCATGCACTTTACTATCAAACACTATAAATCATGTCCTCATGTCTATTTGATCATATTATTGTTCCTGTAAGTTGCCTGAGTATTCTTTGATGGGTTCATCAGTCAAAACTCAACACTTGAAGCTCAAAGCTTCAACTAAGTTTGCATTTTCATCCTTTTTCTTTCATCTGCTGCATTTTCGCATCCACATAGGCTGGTTCACCCGAGTCTGTTGGAGCAGAAAGACCACAGGCTGTAGAGCCGAAGAAGTGGTCTGAACAGTTTCTTTGAATGCTTGCTTGATACTTTCTCCTACCAACAGAAAACCTTTGGACATTTCCACGTTACATAAGCAGGATATTTTAACTTGTGAAAGCACTGGTAATAAAGCTCCATTGAGTTCCATTTAAGTGCCCAATGACTCATTTCAGTGAGTCAGCATATGCAATATATCCCAAACCAGCCATTGTTAGTGTTAATAATTACACTTGTGTTCCTCCTGCTATTGCGTATTAATAAATTGATTACAGCCTTTATTATCTTATCAGCTATGCCTGTATGTGACCATTAACATATCTGCCTTGGGACAGGTTTATTAAGTGTCCATCCATTTAAAGTCCCCTGTACACTTATGGTACCCTCACACATAGTGATATTAATTATTGTTTGGCCGATTAGAGGTCGTCTGAGACCTCAACTGTAAACTTAACAAATTAAAAGGTAAATGGTCTGTATTTATAGAGCTTCTGGTCTTGATGACTCAAAGCTCTCTACAGTACTGTTTGTCAGCAGACACACATTCATAAAGTGCATCTATGCTCAGCACTTTTTTCTATGAGGGGCCATTCAGGGTTCAGCATCTTGCCTTCGGACACTTCGGTATGCAGATGGGGAAGACTGGGATCAAACCACCAACCTTCAGCTCCACTCCACGATCATTACTGTGCAGACTCTGGCTCCAAATTAAATTAAAAGGGCAAGATTGACTGAATCAGGGATAATTTTGCTTCAATTTTGTACAAAGGGAGGAAGTGGGGACACATTGTCTTTATATCCAGTCTATGGCATGCTATCGAAATTAAATCAACC